CTTCTACCATGTAGCTTTACTACTGAGCAGGCTTCAGTCCACTAAGCCAGGGAAGCCATGAACCAGCTCGTTGTACCCAGCAGGCAAGACACCTCTGTTTCCTCATCTCATGATGAGAGTAATGGTAGCTCTCTGCCAGGGTGACAGCAAAACACAACCAGTGTAAGTAAGACAGGTGAACTCTCTAGCACAATATTTGCCACATCATAGATGTCTCGGATGTGTGGGCTTCCCTCCTCCTGCCCCCAATGGCTACCCCAGGAACAATGGTTAACACAGTAGCAGGACGGACTCTAGAGACAGATGTTAAAGCTTAAAATACGTGTTCTGCCACTCGTAGCTGTGTGACCCCCAGCAAGTTCCCTGGCTTCTCTGTTCCTCCTTATCTGCAGAGTGCAGATAACTCCTGGCAAAGATCTGTGAGAATTTCATGTAAGCTTAACAGTTCAAAACAAGGTAACTCATCCTTGAGTTCTCCTCCCTTCCTACCTGGAAATGCAATAATTCATGTGATTACCCTACAAGAGTTCCATGTTCTCCCCATTGTGCAAAAAACTTTCCCAACCTCACCGAATCAGCAAACGGCAGCAATAGAGCCAGACCTTTAAAATACCCTTCCAGAGTCTGGTCCTTTAGCCAGGCTTTGTTCCCATGAATTACCTGGTTTTGCGCTCTGGCTGGAACACAGCGAAGAACAGGCAGGAAACTTCCATCACTCCGGTCCTTCCTTCCTTTCTTCCTTGGCTGCCCTGCCCCCACCTGTACCATTTGTCCTCCTCTTCCTCATTCCTGAGCCCATCTCTTATCTTCATCCACATTTAGGGTGTGATATCATCGGAGATCTCCATTCCAATCAAATTTAACTTGGATGTGAAGATTAAAGCTAACCAGAGTCAAATTCCTCCTTTATTTAGGTTTTATCATGATCATGCCTGCTAGCCGCTGGCCCAGAAGCCTGTCACTGTCCCCACAGTCACCCAGAGACAACGTATATGCATTCAGGGCCGTGGGACGGAGTCACTGTGGTGCACAGCCACTGCCAGAAAATTTGTACTCCCAGATATTTGAGCCAAGAATTTACAAAAAAAAATGTGATCTCATCAAAAGACTTTTCTAAAACATAATATTGGACCAATATGTGTCCCCTGAAAACCTCGGCACTGAGGCACATAGGTGTCCAGAGGCAAACCTGAGGAGCATTCAGAAGCCAGTGACAAGATCAGGCAGTGCCCAACAGTGCAGGGCGCAGCGTGTGGCACTGTCACAGTCCCCAGAGACCAAACAGAAAAAGTCACAAAATTTGAAAGCTCAAAACAATCTCAGAGAGCGTCTAATCCAGTTATTTGCAAAAGCTCTTTAAGTACCGATTCCTTTGTGCCAATGAAATCTTAGCCAGGAGATTTATGTAAGAACTGAGGTGCTCTCACTGAATCACAGAGAAGAGGGGAGCATCTCGAATCCACCCCACTCCCATTCTCTCACTCCAGTGAGTTCTTTTGAGGGCACTATGGAACCCCTGAGGTGCCTCGGGGCACAGTTTGGAAATCACTGTCTTAAACCCACTTCCTGCTTTCACCCCAGGGGAGGGAGGGGTGGCAGATGAAGCCCAGAGAAGCTGCCTGGCTTGCCTGAGGTCACACAGCCAAATCAGCAGACTAGACAGTCCCCTTATCTGCCCTCAACAGCGTCTCTGTGGCTCCTGAATCCTCGGATGAACTGCCTTTTATTTTTCCAGACGTTTGTGTTCATGTTCCCAAGAAAAACTAACAAACCAGTCCCCGCTTACGCCTTAAATCTTGGGGTGTGCGGTCCTGACACAGGCTCGACTGCTAGAAGTGTGGCGTAAGAGGTCAAGTCTTGCAAACACCTCCCCACAGGTGACCCTGGACACTATCCTCAGCCACATGGGGCTGAGTGCCTGCTGCCCAGAGGAAGTCCTAAACTGAGGGTGGATCTCGGGAAGACCCCTAAGAGCTGGCAGTCGAGGCAGGCGGCCCCCTGGCCTGTTAGCTCTAGCCACTACACCCCTTCATCTCTCCATCACCAAACGGGAGGAGAGCAGGAGGCAGCACCACGTGAGCGCTTCCAGCTGCGCATGCTCAGCGTTGAATACTTTCAGGCCTCTGGGGCTCTGTTGGTGCTTACAGTGAAAAGGCTGGACTGAAGCCCTAGAACCTGGCTGCTCCCTTCACCTGCTTGGAAAGTGGCAGAGATGGTGGAGAAGAAGGTCCCGAGTGCTGGGGGGAGGGGCACGCCACGCGCACAGTGGCTACCACAGGGCTTCCAGATGCTTTGCTTCGGGTGCCCCCCACCAACTCCCCGCAGCGGGAGGACTGGGCTGATGAATCCCCGACAGGATCCTTAACTTCTTCGGAGTCCTACAGCTAAAAAATGACAGACCCAAAATTTGATTCCCAGAGCATCTTGCTGCACAACCTGTGTTCTTAACCACTACCCCACACTGCCCTTCCTTCCTCCTCCTCAGGAAGAAAGGGAGAATAGGGACATGTAAGGCACAGGACCCAGCTATGCAGGAGGCGGAGGTGTAGACCGGCAGCAAGGGCGCATCCCCATTGCCCATGCATTTTTCCCCCCAGCGTGTTTCCCTGCCTAGAATTCCCAACCAATGCCAGCACCCTGCAAATGTCCCAGAGGCAAGAATTCTCGGCTTGTTTACTGAGTCCCCTGGGCTAGGGGCGGTGAGCTCGGTACAAAAGCAGGATAAAGGTACACTTTCTGCATGTGAGACCCGCCCCCCCAAGGAGCTGTGTCACTCTGTATGTCACCGTCATCAAAGGGGCTGTGCATAAACCTGAAAAACCAAACGGACCTGTCTGTAGGTGTCACTTATATCACAAGGCTACAGGTGCCTTTATTTTCACCGTCTGCCGTCGTCCACCGGGGCCAGGAGCACCTGCCTTCTCTCTGGACCCAGCCACCCTGTCCTCACGTAAGCACCTAGGGCTTTTCGCCCCCCTCTTCTGGATGAATTGCGAGGGGCAGCAGGGCTCAGAGCCCGGGCCTAGGGCCTGGGTGTGGGTGTCAGGCTCCGGCGCCTGTGCTGGCCCCTGCGTGAACCGGCCACCGTGCCTCGGGAGCTGCTGGACTCAGACTCGCCTGCCCGCGTGAGCGAGGCCTCCCCGGCCACGTGGCCACCCGCCCCCTCCCCTCCCGCCCCCACTTCCTGGGAGCCCAAGCGAAGGAGGACAGGACCCACCAGCCTCCAGGCTCTGCGCCCTTCCTAAAGCTATCTTTCATTCTCTAGAACTATCTTTAGGAAGAGAAGCGGCAGTTTATCCTGAAACACATTCGGCTTCAAGGGAAGCCCCCACCCCTCCAACATCCTCTTCCCCTGACTTCATCTCTCAAATCCCCCCCACCCCCACCCCACCTGCTCCTTGCTCTGCACCCCAGCTGCCCTGATAGAGACAACCGGCTTGTAGTTTGGGACGTTTTTAAAAATCTGTCAGTATAAAATAGTTTCAAAGAATCCCGTTTTTCCCTCTCCCGCCCCGTTAGCATAGAACGCGTCTAAAAAGCAGAGGCTACGGGTTTTTTCCACTGGGTTCTCTGCAGTTGTACGTGGGGTTCCTGCGGGGCTGCCCCCTGCTGGCAGAAATTGGTGACACACGTTCCCTCCTGAATCTAGGTGGGAGTCGCAGGCTCTGTGCACCCGTGGAGAACTCGGAAGCTGGAGATGGGGTCACGGGCCTTAGATGAAACTTCTTGGTCTTACACATGAGGGAACTCATGCCCTAAACGTCTCAGTAACTTAAGAAGATGGGTTGATGTTTTATGTAGTCTAAAAGAGCCAGGAATGTGTGTTTTGAAAGCTCAATTCTTTTTTTCTCGGTGTTGTTAGAAAGAATGTTTTTCCGTGATTCCGGGTATGCTTGGCAGCAGCTCCCAGTCCAGTTGTCTTCTCTTCTCAAAACTTAGAGTAGATGCAGTGACAGTGATTGCTTTTTCCTTCTGGGATAGGATCAAGAATATATATATATATATATATATATATATTGCAGAAATAAAAGATACATATTTATTTTCAGGATATTCTGAAGATTAGTTTTGTTGTTGTTCTTTGGGTTGTTTGTTTGTTTTGTCTTTTTGAGCCAGGGTCTCGATATCCAGTTCAGGCTGGCCTTGAGCTCACTTTGTAGCCCAGTTTGGCCTCAGACTTGAAACAATCCTCCTTCCTTAGCCTCCTAAGTGCTGGGATTATAGGCCTATGTCACCATGCCTGGCTTGATTAGGTATTCAGATCTTATTTAAGGCGGGTCATGAATGTGCATGTAGCATGCTGTTGTGGAAAATAAATCTAGAATTTTAGTACGCTGAGTAACAAATGTGCCCCATGTCCCTTGCGTGGTGAGTGGCCATGGGAAGATTTAACCCTCTAAATATTTAATGCAAAACTGTGAACTTTGTATTGAAACCCACAGAAAACTCTATGAGCCTTTGGCCTCCCCTCAGGAAGGCAACTAAGAACAACGTTCACCCAAAAGCCCTAAGCAGTCAACAGAAATGAGGACTCACTTGACAAGAGATCAGCAAATTGGGGGACCGGGAATATTGCTCAGCGGCACCAGTGCCTGCCTGGCAAGCATAAGGTCCTGAATTCGATTCCCAACACCAAGAGAAAGAGAGATCAGAAAATTGGTTCTCACCACTGCTGTCCTCTTTTTCCAGAACAAACATGCCACAGTCATCTTAATGGCAAGTTCTTGGGGAGGCTGCAGGGTAGGAAACTCAGGGCCAGTGGACACATGGGTGTCGTAGGGGCTGTAGGGATAGCGAGCATTTCTCTTCCCACTGATACTACCCCGTGGTGAGATTGAAGGAAGCCCCCCTTAACCCCCTTTATCTGTACTTTGTCCCCGTGTGGCCATGTCCTGCCCAGTGAAGTTTTACATATAAACAGGCAATGGATAGGTGCTTAATTGGTAGATTTTTGGTCACATGCCCAGAGTGAAGTCGATGATCACCAGGGTCAGGAAGGAATTTTCCTTCTCTGGCAAACTGGCCAAGGCCGGGTGGTTTTCTCCTTTGCCTCTCTCTGGAAGGCTGAGCAGAGGAGTCCGGCTACTCCAGCTATGGAACTCATACCTGTTCTTGCGGCCTCTGGTTGGTGCGGGACCGAGAAGCCAACAGGCCTGGCCATCTGACTGGGTAGGCCTCTGTGTGTGCACGCGGCGTGTGAGCTGGCTCTGAGCAGGGTTGACAGAGCAGCGCTGGAGGCATCCGGGGACCCCAGCTTCCACGCCATCGCTGCCTCGCTCCCAAAGGTACTCGCAGCAGGCTTTCCCATGCACAGAGGGAAGCCTCCTGAATCCTCGCCTTGGGTTGACTGTGTCTAATCCTTTCCTACTTAATAAGTGGCTATTAATGTTGGGAAAACTGAGCTCAACTGCTGCGGGTCTGCTGGTGGGCAGTGGAAAGGTTCAAATTGTTTAAAGTATCCAGCTTCGGCTATCCTAAAATTCCAGAACCAGACTAAGTAGATGATAGTGGGTACATGAGCTCAGGAGCAAGAGGGAATCTGAAATGTGTTCAGAGTTATGGGATTACTCTGTGGTGCGATTTTCATTCAATTCAGTGGACCTGCTGGACCACAGTACCCAAATGCAATCAATGTGTGTGTATAAATGTGTGTGTGCATCTGTGTGTGTGTGCGCGTGTGCGCATGCGTGCAAGTGCACATGCACAGATGCGGCATGTTGGCCAATCAGGTGAGCATCAGCAGAAAGTCACAGAGCTACAGCCAGCTGCGTGGTCTGTCTCCTCGGTGACCTCATCTAGAAGGCAGGGAACTGAAGTGTGAAGAGGGGCAAAGGCCAGCCATCACCCCACAGTCAGGGCTTTTGCACGATAAGAAGCCAATCTGCCCCTCAGAAAATAAAGAAGGGGCTAGGCCAGCAGGCCCAAGAAGAATCTTGTCCTGCACAGACGCTGGGCTATCCAACCCCAGCTCTGAATCCCTTTATCACCACCACCCCAGGAGGCTTTTCTCTTTGTCACCCCCCTTCCTGTTGGGAACGCTGGCCTAACCCGAGGCTGGCTTTCCCACTTGCCAGGCCTCATTGAGAAGTGAGTGCTCTCACGTGCTCCCTCCCACCCACCCTGTTTACCTGCCTGAAGCGAGTCTTTCAGAGACCCAGTGTTTGATTCCTGCAAGGACCTTAGAGGGCCTAAAACAGAGAGGTTGCCGCACACAGAGCAGCTGTTATTCCTGAACTTGCTCACATGGTGCATGCAAGCATACCCAGTGGCCAGTGTCTTTGGCGGCGTAGCCAGAGTTAGTCACACTTCCTCCTGTTGCAAGAGCAGAACAAAAAGAGGAAGAGGGGAAGGAGAAGCAGGTGAAAAAGGAAAGGGGAGAGAGAGGGAGAGAGGGAGAGTGAGAGAGAGATGGAGAGGGAGAGGGAGGGAGATTCCATTGCTTTCATAAAAGACAGTTTTCTCCAAAAAGCAAGAAATAATTATGGAAGGAAAGTAGAATGTCATACACTCCCCTAAGCAAAGGCTAACGAATGTGATTTGCCATAGAAAGAATTACCAAAAAAAAAAAGAAAGAATTACCAAAGGGAATCAGACACAACTCTCTGTGTAGCTCTGGAGATACTACAGATCAAGTGAGTGAGGCAGTATAAATAAAAATCCTTAAAGGATGTAAATATTCTATGATGCAAGAACATTCCCAATTTTTATACGAATAAAGTTAATTTTCAAATGATGTTTTTAAACTACCACATGCCTTTTGAGAGTTGTTCATCAGGCATTGATGAGGAAAGTTGTTTTGTATTTGGAGAGCGCCCTCTGCATTGGCTCTGAAGACCTGGTTTTTTGGGGTTTTTTTAATTTGGGGTTCACCTTTTCTTTCTCTAGTGCAATGGGGGTCATGTCAGAGGGCTTCTTTATTTTTCTTCCACTTTCGGAGCCTCTAGCTCAGACGGAGTGAGGATATTTTTGTCCTCAGTCTTCACTTGGCTCAATTTATCTGAAATCCAGTCCAGATAACGTGAGAGGTCTTAGGGGTCAGGGCTGACCTCTGACCTCCCATGCCTTCCTCCTTCAGCCTGCCCTCCATCAGCCCTCACATCCCACCCCGCTCTGGATATAAAAGCAGCCAAGCCATGGGAAAATCAGAGCCCAAACCAAGGCAGCCCTGACTTCTGCTGGATGGGCTCCCAGGGCAGATATGCAACCCTGATAATCTGCTGGGCCCATTAACCCCATGCTGGCATTGGAAAGAGGGCAGGTCTGGGGACACCTGGGTGCTGCCCAGAAAGGGTGCTCCAGGGCGAGAACTCAAGCTCTGGCTTTCACACATGTCCAGAGTGTGATCCTCAGGGACATTGGATGGTGGTCATGATGGCTGATTTGTCAACAAAGAACTGGTCTTTTATTCCAGAACTACACAACCCCTGCCCCACTTGGTATCTATATGTCACAAAATGTACCTGAGATGCAATTTGAGAAAGGAAGGGAGGCCGATAGAACAAGAGTCAGAAAGCTGGGCCCTCCCTCCAATGTAACTGCTGTCTATTGAGCAAGTGACACAAATTCCCAGGGCCTCACTGTCCTTCTTTAAAAATGGTAGGGGGAGAGAGATTCGATCTTCAAATGGCAGCGTGAAAGAGATTTGGCCTTAAAATGGCAGGGGGAGAGAGATTAGGCCAATTTCCACCCTGGTCCTCATCTCTCTGGTGAGGCACAAGATGGTTTGTTCAGCAGTTGGCAAACTCTTTATCAAAAGACCAGACAGGAAATATTTTAGGCTTTGCCAAAAAACAAAATCAAGGATGTTGTATAGCTACTTATTTTTTGATATAAGATCAATTTTTTGTTATAGAACATACAAAAGTAGGTGGTAGACTAGGTTTGGCCTGCGGATATAATCCTGGGTAATCCCTGACTTAGGAGTTACATGGGGTGAACATTATTTAAGTGCAGATAGATAGTTAGATAAATAGATAGATAGATCTTTTCCTTTGTACTCAGAATATAAAAGCATTCTTTTTAAACCTATTAATGTTTTGGGGTTCTTTGGGGGGTTGCAGTTAGGAGCTCTGGGGTAGTCAGTGTTCTTTGTGGGGCAAAAGGCTGTGAGTCCCAACGCCCATGGGTTCTGTTGGTTTCAGTCAGGGAAGTGGGTGGAGGTCACAGCAGGGTGCGACAGATGAGAGACTTTGCAGGAATCGGCTACAAGGAGAAACAAGGTTATTTTTGTTACAGGCACGGAGGGCTTCCAGTTAGCGTTGCAACACATAGCCTGACGTGTGCAAAGCTGGCAGCAGTGCTGCCAGAAAGGTTCAGCTCTTTCTGAGTCCCACGGCCGCAGCTGCCGTGTGTCTCATGACAGTATGCTAATGTGAAGACAAAAAGGAAGTTGATTTCTTTTCCATGTTGAAGAAAATAAAAGTGTTTGGTAAAATATAGATCGACTGAAATTATCATAGTGGTAGCCAAAGAACTGAAGTCTGAAAGACATTGGATGGAATTCATAGAGAAGTCCTGACCATCTTAAAATTCCATCCTTTATTATCCCAGATGTGGAATCCACTCTTTGCCCTGTTGTTTGCCAGCAGTATGATCCTGGACTTCAGCGTCCTCATTATACATGGAGGAACAATGGGCCTATCCCTATTATTTCTAGAAAAAGAGAATTTAAGTAAACAGGCATTTTAATCTCTCCACCATGGATTTTTTTCATTTGAATTGTGGGAATATGGGATACAGCAAAGAGGTAGCAAATAGTAAATTAGGAAGCAGCAGGGTTGAGGTTGAGGTTGGCATGGGCAGGAGTACATCCAGGTGGACCCGCAAACCCATTCCCTTCTGCCATCTTTCCAGCTTTTTCCCAGAGTTCCCTCCACCGTCACAGTGGGGGTGGGGAGCAGAACCCACCACTAGGATCCTGAGCTTGTAATCAGACCAACCTGGGCTGCCACCCAGACTCCGTCGCCCGCTGACTGGGTGACCTTGCATTTGCTTCGTAGAGCCTCTATCCCTCATTGGTACAACGGAATCACTTCCAGAGCCTGTCTCAGAGTGGTTGTTCTGAGCATCCCACAAGTAATGAAGCTAAGTACTACAATACTTAGCACGGGTGCAGTTAGTGTTTGTGACACTTGGCCAAAACTTTCAGGATAACTGTACTACAGAATTCAGAATTTTTCAGGAGTTAAGAAGGCAAAATGGGGAGGGGGTGGCTTGCTGGTTATCTCAGTTGTTTAAGGGCAAACCCAGTCAGGCGTAGGGGACAACAGTTCGACCCCCACGCTACCCCATGCCTCACCAGACCCACTGTTAAGGCAGCCTGAGCCAGCCAAAAAAAAAAAAAAAAAAAGCCTTTCAACTTACTTTGAGGGCTTGCTGGTTAGCGCAGTTGTTTAAGCACCTGCTGGGGCAGACCCAGTTAGGCACAGGGGACCACGGTTCGATTGCCAGCTCCCCATGCCTCACCAGACCTGCCCTTAAGGCCACCTGAGCCAGCCCAAAAAAAAAAAAAAAAAATCCTTCTCAACAAGAAGGCAAAATAAAACAAATGAAAATTGCAAAGAACCTTCAAGGCCTAGGATTGCTCTGAGACATCAGCACCTCTGCAGTATGTTCTATGCGTACTAAGTAGAATTAATGACTATAATTATAAAACGATTACATATATTGTTGTATATGTGATTGTTATATATGTGTCATATATGCACGTACACATACATCAAGCCATGTATACAATGATGTGACTTCAATTTAGGACTGTTTGCTGGGAAACACGTGGGTGCACCAGATACACAAACTGTCCATTTTCTTGCCCTGTTTTCAGAAGCCTGTTTGTCACTGTCATGTGTCAAATATCGGCGAGTGAGTTGTGGGCAAATGAGAAAAGGGAGCGGAGGGGCAGAGCGGCAGAGCAGGCCCTCCACACTCAGACTCTGGCTCTCCCACTGTCTACTTCCACCTCAGGCCCTCTGCATCGGTTTTCTCATCTATAAAATGGGGAGAGACAAGAGGTGGCGAGGCTTCAACATGAGGGGCGCCTGAAGCTACCATTATTGAAAACCAAGGGCTGTCCTGCTGGGGATGCCCACACAGCGTGGCTTCGGGAAGCCCACCCCACCCCTCCCTCACAGCCTCTCTGCCATTGCAGGGTGATGTTGGACTCTGTGACACACAGCACCTTCCTGCCCAACCCGTCCTTCTGCGACCCCCTGATGTCGTGGACAGATCTGTTCAGCAATGAAGAGTATTACCCTGCCTTTGAGCCTCAGACAGGTGTGTACATGTGAAGCAGCCCAACTGAGGGCAGCTGGTACGGGCTGGAGCAGGAGGTGCTGGCCTCGGCTGGTCAACGGGCCGGGGGGAGGGGGGCTGGAAATGCCAGTGGTCAGAGACCAGGGCAAGCCAGGCAGAAGGGAGAGCAGCCTCTTGCTGGAAAGAGGGCTCTGGAATCCTCACCGCAACTTCTGCCTAGTTCTGTGTAAGCTATCCAGCCTGGCCCCATACAAGAGCTCATTAAACACATCTCAGGGCAGGTTTCACCAACCTGAGAAGGAAGTTTGGAGCCTTATGCAAATCCCATGCCAGAGGCAGGCCAGCTGAACTTTGTTCCAGAAACCCTCCAAGGGCCTCTCTGTCCCCAAGGGTTTGGGTGACTGAACATCCCAGCAGGGCTGGGTGACTGCTGGCCTGGCAAATGCACACTGCACGGGCAGTGATGCAAGCACCTATCAGGCCATCAGCCACCGCTGAGCCTTAACCCTGAACACCCCAGCTGGGCACAGTCGAATCCAGTGAGCACACCGTGTCTGTGAAGAGCTGAGCCTCCAAGGTCTCTGGGCAGCATCCACCTCCAGAGAAGCACCTGCCCACACGGGGGCCAGAAGCCAGGGCTGCCTACACAGAACCGGGGACTCATCTGTGTCATGCAGTCCTGCGTCCACCCCCCAGTCCACACACACACGCATCCACACCTGCACACCTGAACTCTCTCACCCCGGCTCTAGATGTCTCATTACGTTCCGATTTGAATCATTCAGATACATAGCACAATTTTCCATGGGGCCTGCAGAGCACTTGAAATCTGGCTGATAGACTAAATCTGAAGGAAGAGAATGAAGGCTGTCAATCCCTGGCCTCCATGTGTTCCTCACACGGTGGGGCCCAGCGCCCCTCTGTCTTTCCACCCAGGCATAAGGCCATTATGAGAACCCCCTGCCTGCCTACTATCCTGGGTGGCAGCCCGGGATGGCAACAGGAGAGCAAAGGGCCTCGATCATCTGCCCCTTGAGGCCCAGACATCAGGAGCAGCAGCAGCTTCTGTAGTTGTCAAGAGCTCGGTGTCAGGAGTTGGGTGTTCGAAATGTGCAGCCAGGTTTCAACATTTATTATCTGCACCACCAAATCACCTCATCTGGATAGTGGGGAAAATAATAATGCCTCCCTGGTAGGGCTGTCATAAGGCTAAAATGAGTTAATAAATAGGAAATACTTGGCACATGGTCTGGTCTGGCTCGTAGATAGCACACACAGGTGTTTATAAAACTGGAGGATTAATTCCAGTAGAGTATGATGAAAACTTATGGAGTCAGCTGGTGCCAGGGGTTGTTTTTCAATGTGAATGTATTTAATGCCACTAAGCTAAAGGTTTACCTTGGGTTAAAATGCTAAGTTTTGTGGTATGTGTTGTTTATCACCATTTTTAAAAATGAAAAGTTAACCAGAATGACCACCAGGGGATTGCCAGTATGACTTCTACCTGAGCAGGTCTCAGATTCTCAGACACAGCTTCCTGCCAGCTGAGGTCTCTGCAGTTCCATCGGTGGAATGAGAGGTGGGACCAGGTTCTTGCTAGGATTTCTTCCCGAAGCTTCTCTGGCTACTGTGTCATGCAACATCACAAGCAGAGCTTTCTTCTCCCACCGCCCCTGAGAGAACAGAAATTTCCACTGGGATGTGAGTCCAGTGAAAATAAAATATCCTTCAGGAGAACACAGGTTCCTGGCATCCCTCGAGGGATGCGGTTGGTCTTTTACTTACCACCTGGTCCTCTAGGTTTCAGGAGAAGGTAGATTATCTCTGACCTCCTCATAGTCAAAGTTGGACATGAAAACCTAGTCTTGACTGAGCACCTTTTTCACAGCTGCCTGAGAACCAGGTAGCTTTATGAATCCTCCTGATGGAAGGAATACCTGGCCGTTCCTTCTCTTCTTTTCTGACGAAGACATTGCCACCCACAGAGTGGACTCTTTGCTTGAGTTTTCACAAGAGCCCTCTCTGTCAGGGATATGTCAGGAGCAGCCATGTTTGCCCCCGGGCATCTCTCTGCAAACTTTCATTGCTTGGTGAGGCATCTTTGCCCATTTCAGCGACAGTGACCTATAAGAATGGGTAGGTAGGGATGGCCCATGTGTTGAAGACTGGCTGTTTTCCAAAATTTTCAAACTGTCTGTGGCAGTGTCGCTGAAATGTCCCTGAGGCATCTTTGCCCAAATTCTCTCCCACCTTGCAGGAATTGCTATCTTGAATTCAGAGCTTGCCTTAGGGACTGTCTTCACCGCATGATCGCATGATCGCATGATCGAGTCTAGCTTTGACTACCAACACTACCACCGCCAGCCATGTGACCTCTAACAAGTTTGCTGAACTATTTTTTCCTTTGTGGAAACAATATCCACCTCTTAGAGTAAGAGAATAGGATGAGATTTTTGTATGTAAGGTGTGTATCCAGATGCCTGGGACCTGGTAAGTGCACAAGTGGCCAGGAACACTCCACAACTCCCCGACAGATGGAAAACCAGCTCCCCCTCTCCTCTTGTATTTTTCTTACTGAACAAAAATAATAAAGGCCTCTATTGTAACTTTCCCAATTTTTGGCAGTGTAGATACCTCAAGACCAAAGGAAAATGAAACAAACAAACAAAAACAAATCCTGTATGCCCTATTGGCAAGTGACCTATAAGAATGGGTAGGTAGGGATGGCCCATGTGTTGAAGACTGGCTGTTTTCCAAAATTTTCAAACTGTCTGTGGCAGTGTCGCTGAAGCAGTGCCCTTTGTGCCAAGCACAAAGCGTGCAACTTGCTCTTGAGAACAGGCGTCAGCTGGCCTCTGCAGCAGGCTGGGGGGGGGGAATGCCTTAAAATCCGGTTACCTCACCCTGCCCTTGCCTAGGTCCTTTCAAAATAAAGAATGAAAGTGGTGAGACTGCATGGATTTCACTTACATATAAAATTTTTTAAGAAGTCTTTCTCCAGTCAAGTTCTAGTAGCTGAGGCTCTGAGGAGTCATTACATAGTGGCCTTAGCCTTCTTCCTGGAGTGTATCCTGGGCCTCCACCTCCCCATGCACCTCTCTTGATGATCAGGGGCTACACCAACATGACACTTTAGAATCTTGTTTATACTGTGTGTACAGCAGAGGCTTCTTGATTAAAGCAGCTCTGGGGGGCCCCCAAAGGTGGGAGCCCAGAAGCCCACAGCTAGCTCTCCACTGTACTCTTACCTTCAAGTCATCTCCTGTACTTTGATTCAGAAGACCATACAGCTTCACTGGTATTAAGGTTTTACCCATAAGAACTAGAATATCTCTGTAAGGTGTGGTCAAAAATCACAGTGAGTGCTTCCTTTAACTTATTGCAGCAAAAGAAGCATCAGCATTAATCCCTCCAAAAGTCTTCCCTTTGATTCCGACACTTACCCCATCATCCTTGCCACTTTCTAAAGCAGTCCTGGAATCCTCTTCCATGAGTATCTTTCACTGTGCTGCTGTAGCTGCCTCCGCGTCCTGAACTGCTCCAAAGCATTTGCCTTTAGTGGCCATCTTGACTTTGGGGAAGAGCCAGCAGCCACACGGCCCAGATCCAGCAGATAAGGTGGATAAGGACACAGCATGAGGTTTTCACAAGCTGCCCTTTCTGTTCGATGGGTCTTAGCAATATTCACCATATTTTTGGTCACACCTCATAAAGATACTCATGAAACAGGACTTTCAGAACTGCTTCAGAAAATGGCCAGAGCAATAAGGACATGTATTCAAAATAAGGACTAATATTGGGAGAGGAACTAATGGCAACATGTTTTTTGCTGTAATAATTCTTTTTATTTGAACACATACTGGTTTTTTTGTTTTGGTTTGTTTGTTTGTTTGTTTGTTTGTTTTGGCAGAACTGGGGATTGAACTCAGGCCCTTACCCTTGCCAGGCAAGTGCTTATTCTACTGAGCCATCTCCCCAACCATACTGTATTTTCTTGGCCAGCCCCTGAATATGATCTACTTTTAGCTCTACTCATTGTGTGGCTTTGAAAAGGCTCAAGCCCTCAGGCCACACTTTCATTTTTAAGAAGGACGACATGGGACCACATAGCCTGTATTGAGGATAGCATGAGAAAGCACAGGGTTTAGCGTGGTGAGGGAGATATACAAATATTCAATATATGTAGTAGCTATTATTAACCACTGGGAGATTTTATTTGGCTGGATGCAGTGATGGGTGCCTGTAATCCCGCCTACTTGGGAGGCTGAGGAAAAAGGACTGCAAGTTGAAGGCCAACCTAGACAATTTAGCAAGGCCCGGTCTGAAAATAAAGTAAAACTTCCTAGGGAGGCAACTCAATGTACAGTACTTGCCCAGCATGCCTGAGGCCCCAGGTTCAATCTCCAGTAGTGCAAAGAAAAGCAGGGGTGAGAGCAAGGGTATTTGAAGATGGAGCTATGTAAATATTTTGAAAATCCAAGACCAATTATCTTAGACATTAATACCCAGAATATCAGAGAGAGAAGTATCTGGATGCCGTGTGAGCTTTTCTAAGCGAGAGGCTCAAATGGGGTGTAGTCCTGTGGCGGGTGTCAGGCAGCCACAGAGGAAAGAGTGAGAATTTCGAAATGAAAATCAGACAAATAAATACAAACTCATGCTGCTGTCTGAGCTGAGCTCTGGGGCAGCAGCCACGTTCCCTGGGGTCTCAGCATTGGCCACTTCTGGTTGGTCCTGCACACATCTGAGCTTCTAGGGTAGCTGTAGTCAGGAGGCCATGCAGGGCCTGGCTCTCTGCCCCTCCCAGCCCTTACCACACTCCCAAGACCATGGCCTTTGCAGAGACCCAGCCGGCCCTGCTGCTCTCTGCTTTCTCCTTTCTTTCTTTCTTTCTTTCTTTCTTTCTTTCTTTCTTTCTTTCTTCTTTCTTTCTTTCTTTCTTTCTTTCTTTCTTTCTTTCTTTCTTTCTTCCTTCCTTCCTTCCTTCCTTCCTTCCTTCCTTCCTTTCTTTCTTTCTTTCT